TATAGAGCAGCTACTTTTGCCCAAGACTATATTGTTTGTTTTGACATTTTACTACTTTCGACATTGTTTCTTTCTAATAAATTTATATCATCTCATTTGATACATAAGAATTACTTCTATGGAAAATCGTTCATAACTTCATCGATTCAAACTTAGTTGATCAAACTAATGATTGTATTAATTGTAATGTTGTTGCTTCTTCTCAATTCACTAATACGAATTCGAATTCAAGATTGGACGTAGTCTCAATCTGAAGGCTAATATATACATTTGACTGAGTGATTGATATCACTCAATAAATAACGACAATAAATATTCATGAAAAACCTCATTGAAAATGATCATTAGTGTGCAAGTTCGTCAAACTAGTGCAATTAAGAAGACTATCTTGAAATGAAAATTCAATCATAGAAAAATGAAACTCAGTGATTAAACTTTTCATTGTCTAAAAAATATATGAAAACTTTCCCAACCATGAAGATTCAATAAAAGCTATCGAATAAATATTGGTACCAGTGATATTTTAATATAATAAAATATCTATTATCATCATAAGAAATTATATTCAATAATGAAAATTTCAATAACTTTCCATTTCAAATATGAACAGTATCGTTTAAGTGATTTTTTTTTATAACAATCTTAAATCGCATGTTTCTCTCAATGAAGTAAGAAAAGAAATCGAATCATATTTTCCTTGAAACAGAACATTCATTATCTAGCATGAGGAATGAAAACTAATAATCAAATCTTTTTTTCTTTCTTTCTTCTCCTGTTCAAATTACTTCCAACACCATGCAACAAACAGAATACAAAATCAATTCTAAAACAGGTCTTTACTCCTTTAGTTGCCCAAAAATAAAATGAAAACAAAAACATATCAAAAACAAAAAGTTATTTAATTAGATAAAATTTTATCAAGTGGTTCCATAAATCGTTTCTCAAAATTTATTGTACTAAAACGATCAACACTTTCACGTGCACGTTCACGTATTTGTTGTCGTTCATCCGATTTCATTTCTAATATTTGTCGCATTGTTGTCGCATACGAATCAACATCAGAAGCAAGAAAACCTGTTTGACCTTCATCAATAATATCCATTTTTGGACCACCAGATTTATGTGCAAGAACAATTGCACCAGCTGCCATCATTTCCACAATACCTAAAATTTAAAATACAAATTTTATGAATTTTAAAAATAAAAATATCTCTCTCAAACCAATTCCAAAATGTTCATTCCACATTGTATGTAATCCAATCATTGCTTTATTTAGATAATTTTTCAATTCTGTAAAATTAATATTTAATTTAAATTCAACTTCATTGCTCATATTTAAATTTTCGACAAGTCTTCGTAATTGTTCAACACGTTGTTTATCATCTTCATGTCTTACACTACCAATAAGTATTAATCGTAATTTTTCACGATGTTCAGGAATTCTAAATAAAACAAAACAAGAAAAATTACTATTATCATTAAAATCAAAATAAACCTTTGTAAAAGTTCATGAAAAGATCTTATTTGTAATTCATGATCTTTTTCTGGTCGAAATTGTCCAATAGATACAATTGTTTTTATTATTTGCTCATCATCATTAACTAATGGCATTAATAAAAATTGTTTAACATCACATGGTGGATAAGCAAGATACATTGAATTTAATGGTAATTTCCATATATGTTCAATATGTCCTTTTGTCCATGTTGAATTACAATAAGCTATTTGTGAACATTTACCACACCAACCATACATATATGCAAATATACGATAATAAATTAATTTTATTTTACTAACATTTGAACTATTAGCTATTAAACGACGATTATTATAAGTTGGTCGTCGTTCTTTAATTTGTTCGAGCATATCCGTACTTATTGTTGGATAATGAACATAAGCAAATATTGGTATTGATGCTAAATAATAAAATAATGGATATGTAAATGCATAACCCATTGAATCAATATAAATATCAGGTACAAAACGTATTAACGCTTCTAAACCTAAAATCATTGAACCAATACTTTGTCCTAATAAAGTAAACATTTTATAATATTTAGCTTCAACAAAAAAACGACTTCGAAGATAAATAAATGTTATTGATGATTTATAAATTTCCATATTCATATCGAAACGTTGTTTAACACGATGAAGAATTTCGTTAGGTGTTGCATCTATATCACCTGTGTAAACAATGATTTGAATATTATTTTTATGTTTTTTAAGAATCGATTCAATAGCACTCCATAGAACACGTTCACCACCTCCACCATCATTACAATATGGATGAAAAAAAGCAACACTTAAACGAGATTGTCGATCATTTGTTGTCCATGAACGACATTTTCTACGATGCCATGGTATAAATACAAATTTTAAAGTAGGAATTATTGCAATAGCCCATGCAACCACACTTATAATGAACCAAATCATTAATGTTGTCAAACAAATATTGAAAAGAAAAAATGTAAACGCAGATAAAAGAATAAGACTAATCAGCACAATACCCCATATAACAAATAATATATCTCCTAATGTTCGTTTTAAAAAAAATGGCATATTAAAATGCTTGTTCAATATTTCGATGGTATTTGACTAGAATAATAAAAACTAACATAATTTTACGTGTACATTCGTTACTGGTGTAGATGGCGCTTTGAAAAACCTATCAAAGTTTATTAATATAAAAAAACAAAAAAATTGAAACTTTAAGTTTCGAAAAAATTTTTAATCAATTATTGTTCTAAACTTTAAATTTTAATTCTGACATAATTAATTTCATTGTTTGAAAATATTAACCAATTGTTATAGTTGCCAAAACTTCTTTGTCTTCCTTTTCTTTTTGCCTTGTTTTTTTTTCTTCGACAATGGTTTGTATATGATTGAACGTTCTCGTTTGTTTTGATTTAAGCGAAAAAGAATATGCATACATATAATATTTCTTACCGCTCCTTCACATTTTATTCTTACATACTAGTCATGTTCTTCTATCGTTGGCAATTTCCCCTATCTCTTTTCAATGAGGCGGCTTGATTGTTGCATAATGACATAGAAGACTGTTATTTTCCTATTGAACGATTACTCGTATGTCATCTAGTTGATTTATTGTTATTTTAAGGAGGCAAGAAAAATGAGACCTGATGGTTGCTCTACTCATCGATTTCTTCACAATATTATATCTTCACTGATAAACAAATCCATTACATCAGCAATAAATATCATTTGTTATTGTTCAACTGAAACATAGTCTTATTGCATAAAAAAAAAATAATAACTTGTATGTTATTTGTCTCGTTTCTTTCTTCTGAATATATTCTTTGTTCTTGTCAGAATCGATTTCACTTTTCACTACCGGCAACATCTGAATTCAATCGACTCGTGTTTCAGATTATGTATCAGACGACGGCAAGTAATGTCCATCTGGTACCATTGGATAGACATAGACGATAATCTTTGCATACTATCCGCTAGGGCATTATTATTGATGGATCGATCTGAAATAACACTACAATACTGACTGCTGATGCCACAAGTGCTACTTATTAAATTCTGCATGTGTTTCTTTTTTCTTTTAGTTTCTGTTCTTTTTTTTGAAAATCAAAAACTAATTGAGCTGATCATAATTAAAAAATGAACGAAAAAAAAACCATGATGATATTGTTTGTATTCGACTTTTATCGAAAAGCATTTCCGTTTGTCGCATATTGATAAGGTTTTTTTTTATCCTCTTGCTATCGTTTCTCTTCTCTTCTCTTCTCTTCTCTTTCTCACTCCATCATATACTATTGTTCTGTATTTTGACCCCGCCCGGAGGTGTACTGCCCTCGATCGTCTTTTTTTCTTCTATGCTGTTCGATGGTCGTCGTTCAATCTATTTCTTCATCGTTCTCTGTATTCTGTTGTCCATTCACGAGTACAATCAATGAAAAGGAAAAAAAAAATTGCCTTCTTTCTGTCTCATTCTAACAGTGAATGAATGTCTCTTTTCTGATAAAAGAAGGAAGAGAACATTGCATTGGCTTTGCTTCAAGATAATTTCATTCCATCAGTCATACCATGTCGCATATGTTTTCTTTATTCTCATTTTAGATGAAAAAACAACATTGAATGAACTATCGGACATCATCATGTTGATAAAATTAAATCAATGGACTATATCGCGTGAGTATATTTATATAGATTGATATGTATTTCGTATTTCGAATCACATGATTGAATTTAATTCTCTTTTTTGTCACTTCAACGAACACAAATTAACGTTCGTCTCAAGATGGTCACTATTGATATAGAAACACAAGACATTTTGTTTCTTTTCAATTTCTATCTAACTACAATGAGAATGTGATGACCGTATTTTTCTTGGATTAAATTTGATAAAACTCAGCTGAAATATTTTCCCTTTTTTGATGATGAGAATGTATGCGTTCCCATATCAGATGTGATCCGTAGGCATATTTGTCGAATGTGTCTATGTATATGATGATGTTGGTGTCTCAAACTTATCAATCGCGATAGATGAAAACAGCCGATATAAACATACATATGCAAAAAAGAAATGAGTATGTTTACGTGACACATGAAAAAGGATGAATGCTTATACATTTGATTTTCATTGAACTCTTGTTTTTTTTTGTGTTTGTTTACACTAAAAATTGATGAAGTTTTTTTTTTTGAAAACATTTGTAAAATTAATTATTAGCATTCTTATTTCATTGATAAATATCGATAGAAAGTGATAGTTAATTATTATGTACAAAGAATAAAATAATCTTTCCTTGGGTTGCAATAGATTGATTGTTCTTGATTAATACCTCAGATTGTACATATGTTTTTTATAATCAAGAGATTGCATATGTATATATATATATATATTATATTGTTGATTATGCAAGCGTATGTGTATTTTTAGTTTTATATTGTACAAACCTATTATGAGTACTCATATGAAATTATTCATAATTATAATCAATTTTTATTTATTATCGATACTATCTGTTGAAATGGTACATGGTCAATCAATGTCATGTTCATGCAATTTAGATGCAGCGGGTATGACAATGATTTGTACCAATGTTCATTCACTTATTGCTTATCAACAATGTATGCATGAACAACTTAATATACAATCAGATTTTAAATTAAGACGTGGTGGTGTTATTACAAATTTAACAATTATTCATCATCAATTACGTAGTTTATCTAGTGGTTTACTTCAATTTTCCTATGGACATAATAATTTTTACCAATTGAGTGATTTACGATATTTATATATTATGCACGGTACATTAAGACATATTGAAAATGGAGCTTTAGGGTTGATTGAACGAGCTCTTGAATATCTTGATTTATCGAATAATGAATTTCAGCATATGCCTCAAAATGAGAATGAACAATATAGCAATCTTATGTAAGTATATTATTTGAATAAATAATATTAAATTATGTCATTTTTTATTCTTTTAAATATAGAAAACTTGTTCTTTCAAATAATCAAATTCATCGTTTAACAATATCAGACATACGATCATATAATCGTTTACAACAACTTGATTTATCATTTAATCGTCTTCAATATGTTGATATGTTATTAGTTAATCATATAAAAAATCTAAAACAATTATTTCTAAATTCAAATATGTTAAGAACATTAACAAATAATATAACATTTCCACTTAATTTTCATTTAAAATTAAGTTCAAATCCATTAGAATGTGATTGTCGTCTTCGTTGGTTGCGTAATGCATTAAATCGTGTTGAATATCCTATTTATCATGATGAACCACAATGTGAAATGCCTAAAGCATTAGCAGATAAAAAAATTGTTACATTACGTGATGAACAATTTGTTTGTGGACCAATTATATCAAAACCTGATTTGACTATGGTTTCTACAACTACTGGTGAAGTTGCAACGCTTCGATGTGATGTACGTAAATTAAGATTTATGATTATCTATCAAATGAATATTTCTCATGTTTTAATAATACATTGTGTATACGAAAGACTTGGCATCTAAATTAGGCGATCTATAAATTACTTTCTGGCATTATTCCCTTGATAATATCCATTATGAAAATGAGATAAATAAGACATTGTATATCATTAACAATGTTGTTCTTGATCTGATGATAATATTAATCAGACTCCTGTAGCTGTGTTGTTTATCAAAGCTGTTGATAGTAGATATATTGAAAGCTGGAACTGTTAGAAACAAGTTATCTCAACCAGAACTAAAGATTATAGTTAAATAATCTATGATTTTAAGCGAATTATTTTATAAATCATATAGATCAGAATATGATTCAAAAGAGATGACCAGAAAAAAATATTAGTCGTCAACTAAATAAATTAAAAAAAAAGAGTATTGAAGAATCTTTTTTTAGATGTAATACGAATCAATTCTTAAATAGTTTTCTCTAGATCGGAACCAAAAAAGCTTGGTTCTACATATCTCTAGTTGAGAGTCAACATTCATTACTAATATTTATTGTGTAATAGACTGCTATAGTTGAGTGGCTACGTCCTTCGGTATGTATCCACTTGGTACTTTATTCAGATTTTAGTAGCGTCAGCCATCAAATGAGTCTGGACATGTTACTAACGGCTGTTTCTCTTGACTGATTCATTCGATAGCATACTCCTATGACTAGTATGTAGTGAGTTATTGTGTATGCAGAACTCAAGAACTCTGCGTCACGCTTACCTCTTATTCTAAACTATAGCTAGTCACAGTTGTAGGGAAGATATCAGACTAATGAATTTGCCACTAAGTAGGACTCTATACATCAAGACCGAGATACCATTCCTTATTCTTCTTCCTACCGTGTGATAATCAGTTCTTTTTTTCATATGATTAGTTTCCCCTATTAGAAAGATATATGCATCAAGCTTAAAACCGATTAAGACGGTAGATTTCTCATAAATTCATCGGCTTAGATTTATCATGCAAAATATTACTTAAAAATAAAAAAATTAGTAAATTAATAAGAAAAGAAAAATATTATTTAGGTCTATTCTGATCCAGCACCTGATGTATGGTGGACATTTCAAAATAAAATTATTGGAAAGATTATATCAACTGTCAGTGAACCTGATATTCATGCAGGGTCATATACAATACGTTTTTCATGTTTATCATCTTATAGTGAACTATCATCTTTAACATGTCTTAATAAAACAACAACATTAACAATATCTAATATTGGTACAGAACATAATGGAACATATAATTGTGTTGCTGCTATAAGAAATCAAGGACGTTCAGATAATGAATATCTTTCCTATGAATTGCGTGTTCGACGATCATCATCATTAACTGATAATTCATTTCTTATTTGGATTATTGGAATATTTGTTTTATTATTTCTTTTAATTATTCTTTTACTTTGTATATGTTGGATTATACGTTGTCATCGTTCAAGTCAACAACAAGCTCAAAGAAATAAAGCATTATTATTTGATACAAATCATCATCATAATGGTGTATTGTTAACAAATGGTAATATGTATAAAGAAAAAAATGATGAACAGCACAGTTTTGTTACAAATGGTAGTTATGATCCATATGATATGATTGATTCAAGATCACAACTTGGTCCACCAATGTATAGTGAAGTACGTATGGTTGATTCAACACCATTAAGAAGTATTGGTGGAGGCTCAATGTCATCATCAATACCATTACATGATACAGCAACACTTATGCGACGTCATCATCCACATGATCCATTTTATGATAGTTATAGATCAGATAGACAACTTTATGAACAAGTATAAAATAAAAAATTCTTAAAAATTATATTTTTATCTTCATGTTTTAGGTTTATCGACCTTCACCAATGGAACCAGTTATTGTTGATGAATTTGAAGATGAAATGATTTTTCCAACAGGTTATGAAGAAGATTATGAATATCGTGAAGATATTATAAAACCTAATCAAGCTGTTGATCCTCGACGACAACCTAAACAACAACTTACAAATCATGATCGATCCGATGGAACAATTATTCTACCTTCCATACCACCACAAACTTCTGTAACTGTCAATGGCAACCATACATCTCATCAAAAGTTAATATTAACACCAAATACAAAACAATCTCATCAAATAATAAATTCATTAAGTTTTGATTCGAACTATAAATTTGACAGATCTGAATCTCAATATGCAGGTCTCGTTGAATCACAACTCTAGTAACTAAGAATGTATGTGCGTTGAACAGTGTTTCTTATTCATCTTGATATTATTGTATGAACTTATGTTCAATTATGCGTTCTTCTTTTTTTTTTTGAAAAATAATCATTTCTTCACTTCTTTTTTTGTGCCTAGAGCAGATAAAAGCATCATTTTTGTTTTTATCAATATGTATCGATCAAGAATATTTTGTCAGATGTGTATTAAGTCATCGACTACTTTCGTCTTCTTCTATATTTTTTTTTGTGCGCATAATCTCTTTGTTTAACTCTTTGACTAATGGTCTGATACATGTAGTTTTCTTTTCTTCTTGTTGTTGTTATTATTATTATTCCATTCGATTCCTTCTTTCTTTCTTTCTTCGTTTGTGCCAAACAAATAATCAACACTAATATCATACGAGTTAACTAATTAGAAAGCTTTAAAGAAAATATCAATTATTTTGATATTGTAAAAAATCTTATGATTTTATTTAATAGTTGAACTTGATTTTGCTACTTTTTTTCAAAGTATCTCAAGCTTACTTTCCTATGATTGACTTTTCTAATGAAAAGAAAGATAAATCTTTCAATTAGCGAAATGATCTTAAAGTGTGTTTGGTCTATTGTTCAGATAAATTAGAATTTTCTCTTCGTATTTATGATATATTGAATTGTTTCTTTAGCAATACTGATATTTTTATTACGGGTAACATAGATAATTCAAGAATTTGAATTTGTATTTTGAAATTTATTCAAATCATAAATAGCTATGTAATGATATTCATGTAGAAATTTTCTGAAAAAAAGTATCTATATTTTTTATTTTTAGTTTTAGACAGAAAAATGGAAACTGCTCCACCAGTCTATTCTAATATTGAACTTATTTGTCAAGGTGCTGAAGCACGTCTTTTTCGATGTTTATATTTCGGTCGTCGTGCTATACTTAAAGAACGTTTTGTTAAAACTTATCGTCATCCTGATCTTGATAGTGCAATAACTGTTCAACGTCTTAAAGGTGAAGTACGTTTATTGACACGTGCTAAACAATTAGGTATTCATACACCATCCATCTATCATATTGATTGGACTAGACGTACAATTGTTATGGAAGATTTAAATGATGCTCGTACTGTAAAATCTGTTATTGATACATTGATTCAAGAACAAAATACTGTTAAACTTGAAGAATTAGCACAACAAATAGGTACAACAATAGGTCGTCTTCATCAAGCACAAATCGTACATGGTGATCTAACAACATCTAATATGCTTTTAACAGAAAATGGTCAACTATATTTAATTGATTTTGGTTTAAGTGCTTATATACCAAATAAAACGCAAATGCTTGAGGCACTTGCTGTAGATTTGTACGTTTTAGAACGAGCTATTATATGCACACATCAAAAAGCGAAACATTTCTTTTCAAATATTCTTATGGCATATAAAAGTTCAATTAGTGATGAAAAACAGCGTACATTAACAATGAATAAATATGAAGAAGTACGTTCAAGAGGACGAAAACGAAGTATGGTCGGTTAATTATTTCTGTCACGATCTAAAATTATAAATAAAATGACAAAAAAATCGTTTTTTTCTTCGTTTTTAAATTGATTTAAAAATAAACATACCAATAATAAAATATAGACACATGGCAATAAGACCAAGAAGAAGAAGAATACCAAAAACAATCAAAATCCATGCCCAACATGGACAATCAGCATTTAATCCTAAGGCACGAACAAGATTGAATGAACCTGAAGATGGTGCGTTTACTGTTGTTGCATAACCAGATGGAACTGGTTCAGGTGAAACCTGTAATATCATTGATAGAAAATTTTATATTTAGTTTGTCAACATACTGTGTATACATCTCGACGTGTCGTAATTGGTGGTGCTTTACGATCAGGCAGAAAAACTGTTTCTTTGATAATTGGTCGATTGACAACCTTTTAAAATAAACTTATGATAAATATTGAAAACTTTAGTGAATACCTCAACAGGTTTTTCGAAAGGTATATCACGCTTGTAATAGATAGATTCATCTAAAACTTCTGTTTTGCCCGGTTTGCGAACCTAAATAGATTTAAACAGGACAATTTATTCTTACATTAGGTATACCAAAAATGAATGATTCCTACGGAATAAGTTGGATTTGGATCTCGTGTGAAACCACTAGCAATAGGCATGTTTTCTTAATGTAACTTAATTCGTCTGTTTGCTGTTGTGAGACACAGAAAATGAGATGTTAACTTTTTTTTCCTTCTTTTTTAAAAATCAATCATTTTTTCATTTTGTCTTTTACATATGATGAAATACGAGATGTAACTAACAACCATCGGATCAGCAGAGTGAGTATCTATGTACAGCTCGAATATCTTCGGCATACTTGATAATTGAAGAAGTAAAAATAGATATTTGTTTTTTATTCAAGTTCAAAAATGATTGACAATAATATGTGGCAGCAAATCAAAATTGAATAATGCAAGGACAAAAAAATAGAATACATTCGTAAATTGATTTTGGGAACGAAAATCTAGGTCCTTCAATAAAACTAAAACTAGTCGTTAAATCGAAAACAATGAGAATCAATATGATAATTATTTTGTCGATAGAAGTAAAAATCGATAAGATCAAATTAATGAAGATTCATATTATAGATTGGTTTTGAATTTGAATTGCATACATTGTACATATAATGCTTGAAGCGATAAGTTTTCAGATTAATCAAATTAGAAAATACAGATGAACAGTGAGAAATATTCATAAGACATATAAAACGCGATAATATTAATATATCTGCACTACACATACAGACAAGAATTTATTTTAAATTGAATCTTTTTATTTTACACCCTGCAAAACTTCTGTTTGCCAAAATAAAAACTACCGGGATGGATTATATATTATCATAGAAATATGATAGACTTACAAAAACGGACGTTTTAACTGCAGATAAAATAAGAACATTTTTCTTACTAAGCTCCGGCATCATCTTCTATTCAGAAGGGGTGTGATTGTAAAGAAGTCTACTAAAGATACTTTTCTAATTTAAAACAAAAGAACCAGTAAATACGAATTGGAATCAATAATAAAAAAGTCTTTTCATTTTAGAACACAAATTTCTTTTTCTTCTCATCATAAACGTTTCTGGAAGATAGAATTATGCTTCTACTTTTAGTCATTTGATATTCGATCTTATAATTATTTCTCAACAATAATGTAGGTATTGCAGACGAATTATTTTAGGAGATATTGGTAGCTTTATTACATAACACTTTGGAAGAGAAACTAAAAAATGATCTATGAGATGGAATTGAGTTGGTAACAGTAGAGTAGAAGTTCAAGTTAATAGAACGAGAAAAAAGATTTTGTATACACTACTGATAACTAATTTAAATTTCGAAATCTAGTGCTGCATTTGCTTCTTTAAGAGGCATTTAGAATACTTACTATACACAGGTTATCTGCAGCGATTGATGGAATTTTTCTCCTGTTCTCTTTTAGGCTTCATACTAATGTACGAAATCCCAAGAAACACTTATCATACATCTAAAAGAATGCTGCCACATCTTCTGTTTTTCCATTATTTTTCTGCCTTTTTCGATCGGGTTGTTTTAACACTTGTCAATATTCTTAGGTTTGGTTAATTTAACTCTTTGAAAATGTTAAGGCAATTTCCAATAAACATTCATTAAAACTGTTTTCTCCGCTCGTTTTCATTGATTGGGGAGAATATATTTTTCTGCTCGTAACGAAAAGTGTTTTCCCAATATTAATTTTCGTTTTTACTCTCATCTATACTTGTTATATGCCCTTTCTGGAACTAGAATTCTATTTCACAAGGCAGAGATGAAACCGACACTGATTATTGGTTGGTAGATCATTCCATTGCTGATACATGGGCCGATTACTGGTCTATCTTGTTTATTTTCCTTCTTTTATTATATATACTTATTCAAAACTTCTATACGCCTCAATGGTATCTCCTAGAGGATGTATATTGAAATGTTGTTGGAAGTTGACTCCATACATTAACGATAGATGGAATCGGTACTGATACGGATTTCAGATCGACCATAATGTCGGCAGATTGGCCATGACTAGTAGACCGGTCAGTAGACGTGCCAGTAACCGATAGACTGGCTCTATCTCTACCACAGGGCAATCTAATGCTCTGATATAATTCAGCAATCGTTTACACACATTGTTTTGTCGATTTTGCAGCTTTATAAATTAATTTTAAAACGATTTAAACGACTATCACAAAAATGAGCTATACTTTTAACGACTAGACTTCATATTATAGTTTCACTGTGTTAAAATCTTTTGGTCTAAACACAATAATTTAGTTTTTGTGATTATTTAAGTAGGCAAAACCTTAATTACATAGCTCGAAGTCACACCCCATTTTTCGTTGGTTTCGGAGGTTGTTAATTTTTCCGTTATACATTGCAAATGAAATTAATTATATTCAATCGATGGTGTAAGTACTCTAGCAACTACTTTTGAATAAGCTCTGATTTTTCGGATGATATCATGACTGATCACTAGATAAACATAACGATTATGTTCGATAATTGTTATAGTCACTTACTGTAGTATTTAAACTTGGTTTGATAGGTTCTTTAATTGACGAAAATAAACGTATAAAATGTTATTCCATATCTTTATATCCATGGGCTGCAAACCAATTCATAGTTAGCATCTAAATCTACGAAAACAGAAGAAAAGTACCTAATCGACAGAGGACCCATCGAAGGGTTCTTCTCATCTGTTTTAATTGTTCTAAATTATTGAATTTTACACAAGTACACAAAAAATGAGTGATGACAAGCGACATGACTAGTTCGAAATGTTCGCAATATTCGTCAGGTCTAGTCTTAAGCGTCCTTTATACTCGTTCTGACTAGCTATCTTGACAAGAAATGTCTGACAATGACGCCTAGACTAGTCCAGAATGTTATTTAATCCTGTGGTGTCTATCCATTTATCTATGTAACTTGTTCAGACTAGTCCGTA